AGAAACACATAAATCTGGGTATTATTTTCCCTGGCAATAGAAGATGGCCTGAAATAAAAGAAAACAATTTTCCCCCTTAAAAAAGTTCTATAACTCCAACTTTCTTTATTAACCACTAGTTGAGATTAAATTATTTTTTTAAAAAATCCAAAATACTCAAATTCAAGAAAGAATAATTAATATGTTCACATAATTCAAGTGTACTTTTGTGAATAAACAGAAATTACAAAACATTAATTTAGTTCATCCATTCCTCTATAGTATATAGAATTTCTTTGGGCTGAGCTTAAATCCTGGATTATCCTTTCTCAGATTTCAGGCTATCGATATGTCTTTACTGAAATTTTTAGGTCACTAAAGTCAATAATGGAAAGCTCCAGTGATGTTGAAACAGAACCTTGTTAATACACTCCATTTCACACTGTTTTTCAAATTTATGAAAGTTCTTTTTAGAGCACCTACTTTTAAAGAATAAATTCCAGTAGTTAAGTAGCTAAAATAAAAGGTTTCATGTGCTCCTCTTATATACAAGTTAAAATTACTAAACTCTTCTCCATCATTTTTCTATATTTGCTTCTCCTACCCCCTCCTCAGCCTAATCTCGACCAAGGACAAAAGAAGAAAGAGGGCTAGATGGAAGTATCAGAAATGAATTGCAGTAATCACTAACAATCCACTAATCTTGAATATTTAAAATGCACAGTTTCATGATTTTTTTGATCTATTAGAGATAATTTAAATTATTTAAAAATTATCTTCTCAAATGGAAAATTTAGTACAGATCTGGGATGTAGATTTCAGCTACTTCTTGATATAACTACTTATGCAGCTTTAAGTCAGCAGATATTGGTTCCACCACTATCACCTGTAAATATATATTCAAGCTCCTCTTTCAGTACTGTGCCTATGTAGTTTCAAATATGTAGACTCCTAAGCTATATAGTCTAATTTTACAATAGTTCAAGGCAACTCATTTCAAAATATTTCTGTCCACTTAGCCACATTTGCATCTATTAATTTTTTTCTACAAATCTCTATCCACACGAGGACAGAAATTAATCATTGGAGTCAGGCCGAGTAACATGCTGGGAAAATAGATGTATCATTATATTTGTATAAGAAAATAGAAGCCAAGGGATGTCTAGAAGGAGCCTGCAATCATTATTCTTTCTTATCTCCAAGAATAAGACTGGAAGAATCGAGAGTTTCCCTTCATAGCAACTCAAAATTTGGATATATCCATCCATTTTCTGTAGCTCATTGACCTCCCTGTAGACCTAATTACCATTCTAAGTGTAAAAAGTAGGTAACTTCACAGATTACCCATGGGATCTTCTAACTGTAGTGTACTTGGATGCTGCTTCAATTACTGCTCTTTTAATTACTGCATTATATAAACAGAGCACCTGGGAAAGTGCTTTAGGGTCCATCACGATCTACCAAAGAAAATAGACACCACTCTAGGTTTTTCAACAGAGATAATTTAACTCAGGGAACTGCTTAGATAGGTGACAGAGAAGTAGGAAGACAAACAATCAGTTGTGAAGCAGGCCAGAGATGAGAGTAGCAAGGACTCAGGCCACTGCTATCTAGCTCGAGGGAAAACTTTCATAGGGTCTGACTGATGGGAAGCAAAGCGAGGGCCATTGTGTGAGAAGATGTTTCAGAGACCCAGGACCGAAAAGAAGTGATAAACATTGTCAGGAAACACCACTGATGCAAGGAGAAAGAAGGAGTGATGCCTGCAATTTGGCTTCCATCCAGCTCCCCATTTGCTCCCCACTGCCTCCCATGACCTTGTGTGCACCTCTGCAGCTTAGAGTCCCACTTTTACCCTGGTTGGCATCATCCAATATGTAAGCACACTGAGTTGGCAATCCAGCGTGTTTTCTTTATCCACTGGGAGAGAACATGCTTACATTTAAATGTTAAATTCTTCAAATGTATTGCTTTAAATGTTTAGATTTATTGCATAGCAATAACAGTCTCTTAATAAACAAAAATTCACAACATGAGATTTTAGGAACTAGCATACATTCAGATGTAATGAAGGAATTAATTACTCTGCATGATGGAAGATCTCTATTCTGTGATTTAATTTGAAGATTAAAAAAGGTCCTACTTTCTACTGAATTCAATTTGCTAATGAATAATAACATGTCCAGAACACAGTGTGTATATATATATATATATTATAGTGGTCAATAGTGGTCAACAGGTCTTCTTCATTGTAAAATTTATTTCTTATATTTTGCTAAAATGCATCCTCTCCCCATAAATATTACTTATTGATCCTGGAATAAATCCAGCCCATTTTTAAAGGTCTGAAACCTTTTTAAAAATGGAACATACCAAATAAATGTTTACATTGTTCCAAGTCAAACATCTTTTGTTCCTTCAACCACTCTAATATGACAAAATATAATTGTGCAAACCTCATAGGTATATATCAATTATGTTTGCTATCTGTTGCAGTGGCTCATCATGGTGTTTAGAGACCCCCTTCCAAATACTCTTTTTAAAAATTGAGTCAAAATAATGACATTTGAATTTCCATTGAGTTGTAATTTTTCCTTAAGAGCCTCATATAGGAAAGAAGGAAGGAATATGGAGTGAGGGAGGGTGAAAGGGAGGGAATAAAGGGGGAAAAATAGAAAAAAAAGTGTCTCAAATTCTCTTCTTTGGGAGATGGTGTATATAATGAAAAAACAAATACAAAGTGTCAAACCATTATTCATTCAATCAATATTTGTTAAGCGCCTTTGAGTGAGCAAGCTTCATTTTAAAAGACATTCTAAACTACAGCTAACCAGAAATAAGCTTATTTTCTATTTAGAGAATAAAATATTTCTTATAAAATGTTACATATTCCTCTCTAACTGCATGTGCCCTCTTGGTGAGCTTTCCTGTTTGCTGTAGGCTCACATTTTCCATGAGGAATTCTAAGGCAAATTTAGAAAAAATTAGGTCAGTTACTTGGAACACTAGCTTGTTTCCAGTTGTCACAGGTGTGCTCTTCTGGGGAGGGCAAGTGTCAGCCTCGTGGGGTATCTCTGTTCTGTTTTATTCCACACGGTGTCACTCTGTCCCTACCAAGGACATAGTTCTCCAGTTCAGTTATCTCCAGTTCAGTTTTTGAACTTTTCCCCCTGGATCTTAGGAGAAATATTTATTTCTATATTTATTTGAAGCACAATAATGGGGAAAAATACCGATTTTCACTGTAAGATAGTGTGGTAAATTTTCCCAGTTGACTCTAACTTCCTTCAAACTGTAAAACAAATGGTACATTGTGGCGTAAGTTGGAGTGTATTACTTTGTTATCAAGTTAAGGGACTAACACAGTAATATATCCTAAATGTATTTGCCACAACTTCATTACAAATAGTCATATATATAATATATAATGTTGTATATTATAATAAGGTACCAATAAAGTATTTAAATAAGTGAGACAACAAGCACCTAAGAAGAAAAATTTTAATTGTGGTGATAGATACACTTGTATGTGGTTCCAAAAAGCCAGCCCCACAAATTGGCTAATCCTTGTCTAGATTAGGAATTTTTAAATAACAGTAAAAGAAAATATTTGAAGGGAACTAAATAGTGATCTTCAGATTTTCACTGGTGATTAGGGGAAGGAGGATTAGACTTGTTTTTGACATTGTGCCTGGAAACCACAAGTAGATGGCACAAAGTGGGAAATCTTGGGAAGAACTGAGTGACTGTTACCGCAGGTGTCGAAGTCTGGAAAATGTGACTACTTGGTGACAGTGTTGAAGGAAACATGCAGGTAAACAATGGTTGATTACCCCTTGAAGGTCTTTCAAGCTCTTTTTCAGCCTACCCTTCTATGCCTCAAGAATAAATGCAGGACAGCTGAAGAGACTGCTTCGGGGAAAGAAATGCAATGAGAGAGGCATTAAAAATATATAAAGCCAACCTCTGAATATTTTACATGAAACTATTTAATAGATGCAGCCCCTGGTAGAAAAATTCTGAATCTTATCTATTAATATTTTTTCTTTCCAAAAGTTTGCAAGCAATTCAAAAACATTTGTAAAATCATTCCTTTCTACCACAGCACCTAGTCAAGTGCTAACAATGTGATGACAACTTAATACGTAATTGCAGAGTACAATTCATGAAATCAAATTAAGGCTCAAATCCCAGGAGCATGATGCCACTCCAGAAAGTGATATGCAAAAGCATCTGAAATCCCATGTGCTATAAAATTCTATCCAGATGTGATAAAATTGGGAGCAGGACTTATGATCTATTTTATATGATTATTTGATTGAATCACACAGGTGACTTACAAGAGCATTTTTATTACAACTACTATAAATAGTGTGCTATATCATCTTCTAATTACTTTTTTTGCAATTATGTGTGTGTTCATGTATGTGTTTGTTATTCTTGCATATAAATTGGGTCACACTATGGGCATTTGGCTGCACCTTTATTTTCTTGTCACTTATTTATTGAGTAATTTATTAAATAAACACTTAATGAGGGCCCTCTACATGTTGTTGTAATTGTGAGGCACAATGGTGAGTTGGATAGAAGGGAAGTAAATAGGAAATAATAAGACAACATGATCAGTACTACATACTGCCCAGAGATCTGCAGCAGCATGTAGAAAGCCCATCCTGCCCTTGGTTACTTATTAGAAGTCTTATTGGAGGAGGTCATGACTAAGTTAATATTAAAAATGGAATTAAGTTAATATTAAAAATGGAATTTACCCAAGATAAAACAGGAAGAGGTAAAGACATTCTAGTTCTAAAGAGAGGAAGCAATATGTAAAAATTAAAAATAAAGTAAAAAAAGCGGACACAACCTGTTAAAGAGCTATTGGAAATGTGCTGAGAGGCCAACAAGTCAAAAGGGGCTAGTCCATGAAATGCTCTCAGCTGCCTGCTTAAGAGTGACCCTCGGGTATACGGAAAGCTATTGACTTGGCACACATGTGACATCATCCATGTTTTGTCTTTTAGAAAGATCAATTTGACTGCAGTTTGAAGAGTGGGTTTGAGCTGGGAAAACTGCAACCAGGGACACATACAGGAGGCCGTGTAGTTCCAGACAAAAGATAATGGAAACTAAACTATGGCAGGGGAAGAGAGGAAGGTAAGAAGTAGAGAGATTTGTGGCAAATCAGGAGAGTAGGAAATAAGGGAAAAGAATGGACATGTCTGTCACAGAGGGACCTTATTGATGAAGTGCAGCACTTGTTGCATTGTGTAGCATGTTTAGCCTCCTTTTACCCTAATTTTGCGGATGGCCAATGCCATCATAGTGATGCCCTCACCCATGTTTTACTATGGCTGGTCAGAGCCTAGGCTGAGAATGTCTTCAGGTCATATCCTTTCCTTAGATGATACAAAGAAAGAAAACAAAAAATAAAATTTGGATTCAGAGCTCATGAAGGAGAAGGAAACATTTAACATCCCAGGCTATCAGCTGGGAACCCCCCCCCCAAAGGACTCTATGCAGGGTGAATCAGATATAGACCAGCTCTTAAAAATTCCAAAACCCTGCTATGGATCAGCCATTAGTCTGCCCTAACCATTAACTGCTTATCAGAAGTAACAGTAAATCCTCTATGCAGGAAGACAACATTATTAAGATCTGCAAGTAATAGTTTTTTTTTAAATATGCAATGTTCAAAATTTAATACAGTTTCCAATCTGGGACATGACTTGACACAATTGAAAACCAAGGGAAGAAATAGATAATAGAAACAAACCTAAAATGGACCCACAGAAAATTCATATGTTAGCATTTGTTGCACAGAGACTTTAAAATAACTATGATTAATATGTTGAACAAATTAGATGCCTTTCAGATATCAATATTCTTTTTTTTTAATTTAAATATATTATGAGGGTACAGGTGGTTTTAGTTACATGGATTGCTTTTATAATGCTTCAGTCATGGTTGTAAGTGTGCCCACGACCCAGATAGTGTTCATTGTACCCATTAGGTAGGTTTTTTACCCATCCCATCTTCCCCTCTTCCCACTGCTTGATTTCCACTGAGTTTACTTCCTTCTGTGAATATGTTTGCTCATTGGTTAGTTCCAATTTAATAGCAAGTACATGTGGTGTTTGGTTTTCCATTTTTTAGATACTTCATATAGAATAATTTTCTCCAGTTCCATCCACTTTTGTTGCAAAAAGGCATTAATGCATCCTTTTTTTATGGCTGGGTAGTAGTTCATGGTGTACACACATTTTGTTAATCACTCATAAATTGATGGACATTTGGGTTGATTCTACATCTTTGCAATTGTGAATTGTGCTGCAATAAACATTTGAATGCAGGCATCTTTTTGATAAAATGACTTCTTTTCCTTTGGGTAAATACCCAGTTGTGGGATTGCTGGATCAAACTGTAGGTCTACTTTTAGTTCTTTGAGGAATCCCCATAATTTTTTTCTATAGAGGTTGTGCTAATTTGCTGTCCCACCATGAGTGTGTGTTTCTTACTCTCTGCATCCATGCCAGAATTTGTTGGTTTGGGACTTTTTAATAAAAGCCATTCTGACTGGGGTAAGGTGATATCTCATTGTGGTTTTAATTTGAATTTCTCTGATGACTACCGACCCTGAGCATTTTTCATATATTTATTGGCCATTTGTCTATATTCTTTGGAATAGCTTCTGTTTTTGTCCTTTGCCCACTGTTTAATGGGCTTGGTTTTTGTTTCTTGCTAATTTGCTTGAGTTCTTTGTAGATTCTGGTTATTAGCCCTTTATCAGATGTATAGCTTACAAATACTATTTGCTCTATTGATTATTTCCATAGCTGTGCAGAAGCTTTTTAATTTAATCAAGTCCCATTTATTTATCTATTTTCATTGTTTCTGTGATTGACATTGGGGTCTTCTTCATAAATTCTTTGCCTAGGCTGACATGTAGAAGAGTTTTTCCATAATTTTCTTATAGAATTCTTATGGTTTCATGCCTTACATTTAAGTCTTTTATATATCTTGAATTAATTTTTGTGAGTGTTGAGAGATAAGGATCTTGTTTCATTCTTCAACATGTGCCTATCCAATTTTCCCAGCACCATTTAATGAATAGGGATTCTTTTCCTTAGTGTATATTGTTGCCTGCTTTGTCAAAAATCAGTTGGCTATATGTGGACGGTTTAATATCTGGGTTCTCTGTTCTGTTCCATTCGTCTATGCCTCTATTTTTGTGCCAATTCCATGCTGTTTGGGTTATTAGAGGCCTGTGGTATACTTTGAAGTCTGATAATGTGAAGCCTTCAGATATGTTCTTTTTGCTTAAGATTGCTTTCCCTATTTGGGCTCTTTTCCAGTTTCAAAGGGAGTGTAGAATTATTTTTTCTAGATCTGTGAAATATGACATTTGTTTCTTGATGGGGATTGCACTGAATCTGTAAATCACTTTGGGTAGTATGGACATTTTAACAATGTTGATTTTACTGATCCATGAGCATGATATGTTCTTTGAAGCCAATTCTTTAATTAGATTCTTTTAAGTAGAAAAAGTGTTATTTTCAGTGTATAGATTGGGATATAGAGTGTAATAGTATTCAAAATTGTTCACAGTTAAACAAAGTCTTGGACAAAGAAGATGGCAGTATGACTTCCACTTGATAAAAAATTGAATAAAGGATAAAAGATAGAAGTGAATATATTTGAACATACTCAAGTGAAGATATTGAGCTATAAATAGTGGGAAGTAACAGGCATTAAGTGAACAAGAAAGCCTCACTTTCTCTTGGGGCAGCTACCTATTCTTAATTTGGAATATGGAGACTAATCCAGGAACTTTTTAGGAAGTTAACATGGTTCCAGCTCAGTAGCATTTCTTGACATCTAGATGATGCAAACGCCAGTGCTGTCTGTTGGAAAGCACCCTAAATTTATCACCTTTAAATCCCATGGATGAGGATTAACTAAATATAAGCTCACAAAAATCCCTCTCACACAAAGAAAAGAACCGCTATTATTGAAAGATGGTCTAAGTAACAAACAGCAGATTTAGACCTCTAAATACTCCATTTATTGGAAATATTAGGTAGAGAATAGAAATAACTATGTAGAAACATTTGTTTTAAGAAACTGAAATTTTAAATGGTGAGAAGCCATGAGCAACTACCAAAAATGCTCAGTCAGGTAAGGGAAAGAACTAAATACAATTTCTAGTAATAAAAATAAAATAGTTGAAATGGACACATTGGTGGTGGGATAAACAGCAGATAAGACACTACTGGATACAGAATTAGTGAACCAATGGTATGTCTAAAGGTAGTACCCGAAGTATAGCACAAGTAGTCAAGGAGCTGGCAGAGAGATGAGAGACAGATTCAGAGATATCAAGGAGAGAATGATATGGTCTAATGTATGTCTCCCAGCACAAGAACATGGATAGAATGAAGGAGAGACAATGTTCAAAAATAAAATGCCTGAGAATTTTCCAGAACTAAAAAAAAGTCAAAGGTAAGGAGTTCAACCCTATTTCAAGAAACAGAAATAAAAGAAAAATATACCTAAACATATTTCAGTGAAACTGCAGACTCCCAGAACAAGAAGCCACCTTATAAAAATGTAAAAGGAAAAGAGGAACAGCAATCAATGAAAGTGAGAACATAATGCAATGGTAAAACTAAGAGTGTTTACCAACAGACCAACATTAACAGAAATTCTGGATGATGTATTTCAGAAAGAAAGTGATCCAGAAAGAAGGTCTGACATTTAAGGAGGAACAGAGAGCAAAGCAATTGGTAATCATAAGTAAATCTAAATAAATATTATTCATATAAAATAATTAAAAATCATAATGTCTTAATTGTTAGGGGTTTCAAAACAATGAAATTCAAAAGCAAGAAGAATTCAAGAAATAGCAAAAAGCATAAAACAAGAAGAAAGAAATAACAAAGCAAACCAGGCTAAGTAAAGCAAGACATATGTTAAGCTAAAAGTAAGATAATAAAGAAAAATGTAGATATATCAGTAATCACCACAATTGTTAATTATGGAATTTGCCAGTTAAAATACTTAACTTAGCAGATTTGTTCTTAAGAATCCAGCATTATAGTATTTATAAAACATGTATAACTAAAACAAGAACAAAGAAATGCCAAATATAAAATGATAAAAAAGACAAAGGAGCAAATACAAATTTAAAAAACTGGAAGAAATATCTTAATTTGGTGAATAACAAATGTTATGACAGAAATAAATCACAGGGTTAAATAGGAGGTAAACAAAACATTTGGGTTAAAAACTCAGAACTTTTGAGCCTTACTTCCTGATTTCAAATCCTGGCTCTACGATTTATGAGCTTAGTGACTTAAAATTTATAAACACCTTTTTTACTTACCAGTAAAATGTGAGTAATCATAGCATCCATCTCTAGGGGTTACCATGAAGAATAATTGAGTTTTATATGAAAAACTCTTAAAACTGTGCTTAGGGAATGGCAAACCCATATGTCTATTTCTTAAAAGGAATAAGACTATTAGTAAAGTGAATTGATTAATGTGAAGTTCTCACAGTAGAGTACTTTTAAAATTAGTTCTTCATCAGTAATTATAGCAATATAGACAATACAGTGGATTTTTTTAAATTCCATTTTATCTTCTAAAAATAGCAGAGTGTTTGACTATCTTAAAAGAAGAGCACATTGCATAGAAAATAAAAAACCTAAATAACCAAGAGTTGACTAATAGAATATTGGCATACAAGAAAAAGTATTATAGACATTAATTTGAAATAAAGTCACTGTAGAGACTTCATTTTGTATAGAGATGTTCAAAACCATGTTGCCAACAAAAGGCCAAACTTAAAAGTTTCTGATTCTCCGTGTCTTTGTTGATGCTATCATTGGAATAACTGAATGCCCAGATAAGAGAAAAACATCAATAGTTGTTGCTATTCTAATTGTTTTAAAATAGGAACATGGCTACCAAGACCAATATTAATTGTATCTTCAGCTAAAACAAAATAAGAATAACAGCACTTTGTTAGTAGAATGTGAATAGCATTGACCTTTCCTAAAAGAGCTATGTGTTGCCTGAATGAAGGGAAATGATTAGATACTGTCTTTAAAGATGACAAGTTAAATTCACAGTTAAACATCTGCTGTTAGGTCA